GATGGCGGATTCATGATCTTTCGAAGCGTTGAATTCATCCTAAGATGACTTTAATGCTCTGCACTGAGCTCAAATTATCTTGCAAAGAATCAACAATATCTAAACAACAAAATGACGTACTTAAAAAAAGAAAAAACGAGTAAAGAGTGAAGGAAAACTATAGGTCGGGAACGTTGTAGAAGCGAGTGAAATGTGATTGCACTTTGGTTTTATTGGAATAGATTCAAAGACAGGAGCTAACATAATTGGTCACAGGTGACGTGGTACCGCATATGGTTAGAAGGCTCTCCTAGTTGTCTTTTGTAATTTGGAGTTGTTTCTTTGAGATATGGGCAAAAACTTCCATCAGTATACTATTTATTGGTTGGTGCTAACATTTAAGCACTTTTAGTACTGTCATCATCCACTGATCCTTTGTTGTCATTCTTCTCAATACAAAATAAATTCAGTATAAGCCACTGACATTATAAAACTAAGCGCTATTGATAGATAGTTTCATTTTTTGTGAATTAGAATGACAAGTAAGGCGATTGCAACTCTAACAAAAATGCCGTGAACAGTGGATTGCTTTATTCGTTAATAAAATAAGACGGGATATTTTCAATTATGCGCAAGAAGTGTCTATTTTCAGTACGTGAGGCGCGTAACTTAATACCTATGGATCCAAATGGTCTTTCCGATCCTTACTGCAAGTTGAAATTAATACCTGATGACCATTCCTCAAAATCTAAGAAGAAAAGTAAAACAATCAGATCTACCTTAAATCCTGTATGGAACGAATGTTTTGAATAGTAAGTTATCTTTATTTATTTTAAAATCTTCTGTTTATGGTTATAAGTCAAAATTACAATCATTCTTTTTCAATCGACAAATTTTGCTTATATTATCTAGTCTAAATAATTCATTTACTCTTGAATATTGTTTTGAATGAAATTTCAGCAAACTGGAAGTAGCAGATGCGGACAAAAGATTATCTGTGGAAGTTTGGGATTGGGATCGTACTTCTAGGAACGATTTCATGGGTTCTCTTTCATTTGGTATCAGCGAACTGATGAAGGAATCTGTTGAGGGTTGGTACAAATTGCTCAGCGCAGTGAGTTTTTCAAATAAATTACTTTTTCACCTATCATTCTTTCCTCTACCTCCCACTAGATAGATTTTTTTTTAATTTATGTGTTCTTATATCTATCTAGCATTTGCAAGAATTTAATGGTCCAACAATAAGATTTCAGGAAGAAGGAGAATTCTACAGCATAAAAGTTATGCCTGAATCTGAAGCCGAAATTGCAAAAATCACAAATGGAATCGATGAAATAAACTTGTTTCAAGAAAAGGTAGAGTTGGAATATAGCTTTGTATATTTTCAAATTAATGCCCTGTGAAGTTTGAATAATATGCACTTCTTAAATAGTTGAAATTTGCTTTGAGAAATATTTAGGAAGTGGTTAATAGTGACAGAATGAGTACACTGGAATTTAGCGCTTATAAAAAAGTGAAAAGAGAACAATGGAATTCCGAATTCAAGACAACCATAATTTGATCTTTTCCTGATTTCTATCTTAAAACAGTTACGGATGTAAGCATAATTTACTGCATGACGTTAATTCCCAACGTAAATAAAAAGTAACATGAGGAGAGAAAAAAAAGCGAAAAGTTGCGATTGTGAAAGTGTCACTTGCATTTGACCTCTCATTAGATAGCCAAATTTGAAAATCGATCTTACAGCAATTATCAGTACGATCTCAACCACAGTTGAAACAGCCACAACAAAATGTTATCAAAGCTACTGATTTTAATTTTTTATCTGTGCTTGGAAAAGGATCTTTTGGGAAGGTTACTCTTTTTAACTTTTAAAATTGTTCAAAAGTAAACTGTATATTCCCTGTTTGTTTTATTTCTTTATTTTTTAGGTATTACTTGGTGAGCATAAAGATAGCAAGGAATTGTTCGCAGTGAAGATACTGAAAAAAGATGTGATTGTTCAGGATGATGATATGGAATGTACGATAACCGAAAAGCGGGTGCTATCGCTTTGTGATAAGCCACCCTTTCTTGTTGCTCTTCATTCCTGCTTTCAAACTTCGGTGAAATTTTCATCTTTCCCTATGTCAAATTAATTAATTGCCAGTGAGATGGTTATCGTTTCAGCATTTATCACATCCTTGTTTGTCCCGTTGAAAATTAAAATATTCGTCATTTCAAATTGTTTTCGGTACTTTTCAAGAATATATATGACCCCCACCATATACAACTCATTATTTCCACATTTTCTTGACATTAAATTGCAAACTTGGAGCTACAGCTGCAGATTTTAAATTACAATGTACTGAATTTTGAAATACGATTTGGACAGTGTTTTTATGTGGACGATATAAGCTTATTTCAGGATCGTTTATATTTTGTAATGGAATTTGTAAGTGGCGGTGATCTTATGTATCAAATACAGCAAGTGGGAAAGTTCAAAGAGCCAGTAGCTGCGTGAGTAGTAATAATATTTTGTTAGAATGCTATAAGCTGTAATCAAAAATCACATAAATGCCTGATGCAAGCAATATAAAATCCAGTTCTAGTAATTCTTCAATCAGATTAGAAGGCACATTTTTGATTGTTATTGCAGATCGTAAAATTACTGTTGCAGATTTTATGCTGCTGAAATAGCAATTGGTTTATTCTTTCTTCATACCCAAGGCATTATTTATCGTGATCTCAAATTGGATAATGTTATGTTGGATACAAATGGGCATATTAAAATCACAGATTTTGGTATGTGCAAAGAAAACATCATTGGTAATGCAAAGACAAAAACGTTTTGTGGTACACCCGACTACATTGCTCCGGAAGTATGCATTATTCCAATATCGCTAATAAGGATCATATTTTACGATGTGATCAATGGTTTGCTCATTGTAATCACTGTTCATTTAAATTCTTTCAGATAATATTATATCAACCATACAATAAGTCGGTTGATTGGTGGGCATATGGAGTATTGTTGTTTGAAATGCTTGCTGGTCAACCACCTTTCGATGGCGAAGACGAAGATGAATTATTTGCAGGTGTCAAATTTAATTGTATTTTTCAACAATTGGAAATAGCAAGAAAGTATATTGGAGTTAAATTAGATATGGTTTAGTAAGTGATAATTACTTTATCAGATATATTAAGAGACATATTTAATCACTGTAATATTTAATTATGAACATTATTAGAGCATATTTTGGAAAGATTTAAATGTCTAAATATGAATTTTTTTTTCTTTACCCTGAAATTATCTTTGCAGCAATAACGGATCATAGCGTATCATATCCGAAGTCAATGTCGAAAGAAGCTGTATCTATTTGTAAGGCATTGCTACAGAAAAGTCCTCAAAAACGGTTGGGTTGTGGACAGACAGCTGTTAGAGATATTAAGGTATGTCAATTCCTCTCCACATGTTTCTTCTGGTGATATTTTCGAGAATTAATCGAAGAGTATAACAGAAAGGTACTGTCACAACATGAAAGTGTCCAATGCTAAAATGAAAACGATTGATACTCATTGCCTCTTCTCTTGAAGAGCATTTATGCTACAAAAAAATAATATTTTAATATTATTATTTTTTCTCTGTATATTTCTGGAGAAAACAAAAATTTCAGTTCTCTTACCTAGCTACCTATCCTATCATACAGTTTATTGACTGGTAGTATCATTTTTGGATAACCAATGTTATCGTTTTGTAAATATGGAAGAAGTGTGTCACATCGCAATGAAAGTTGCATTTTTAGGAACATCCGTTCTTTCGACGAATTGACTGGCATAAGATTGAAAAGCGACAGGTTCAGCCACCTTTCAAACCTAAATTGGTAAATAATTTTCTCATTCAAAGAACCTTGATTGTCAAGGATTCATACTGAATTCTCTGAGAAATTCAACATGTTTTTATAAAATTAACGAATCTTCAATCTTCTTGAAACATAAATCCCTAGCTGGGATAGCCCATAGTTCAAGTATAAATATTTGTGGACATAAGGAGACTTTATTTGCTATGCAAATCATTAGCTGAAACATTTTGATAAAGTTTACATGCAGTGATATCATTTGAACGGCTAATTAACTGTCGCTTAAAATATCAACAGATGAATTAACCACCAACCATGGATTACCTCATCGCAATGTATATTACTTTATAAAAATAAATCTTGTTGATATAAGGTTGAATTTGCAGAAGAGCCCTGAATCGACGGAGAATTTCGATTCACAATTTAGAAAGTTATCTGTCAGAATGAGTGCTTGTGATATTGATATTTTGCGTAACCTTGAAGGCTATGAATTTCCTGATTTTGATTATGTTAATCCATATTGGCCAACTTGGAAAGCTAATGATGAATCGGTATAGAAATATCTATTGCATACTTCTTGGAGCATGATAAAAAGTGATTATTTATTCTCTATTCCACTGTCCCGCTCTTCACTATGACTAGCATATATTTTAGCAGGAAATATTTGCCAATCATTTGCAAGTTTGTATAAGAAATTAATCAGAGTATAAATGCATTAACATACTTATTGAATGAAGGAAATATATTATCATGCAGTTGTCATGTGACATAAGCATTTCTGATTTGTTTAATGTGATTTGAATGTTGTAAAATCTATTTAAAAAAAGTTAAGATTTGTACTGGAATTTATACATTACGCCTCTTCCACACATCAATCTTATTGTTGTGATCTTGCTTTCAGCTTTTAATCAATATGGTTTATCATATGCCATATTATCAGTGATGTGGTAAACATTTGTAATAAGGACAAATAGGCATTTGTCCTTATTACATTGGATTCGAGTATATGGCTAAAAGTACTTGTACATAAATTTCTGTCATCTGAATATATTCATTTGCAAAATTATTCGAGTTATTTTTTCAAAGATTGAAGAAAAAAAGTTTCGCAACTTTTTTTTTTGTTGTGATATCTTTCAGCCATTCGTGGCGTCTATTTGCTCTCCCCTCGCATGACAAATAACTTCACATAGATAAATCAAACATGACATTCTAGGTTGAAGTGATTGACTTCGCCTACCTGAACACTTTTTTCGGATGTAATCATAATATATATTATTTCTGTTCATAGAGTGCCTTTTATTTGAATCCAATCTTCCAGTTCTGTCACCAGATATAATGGCTGCAGCATTAAAATCTGAGTGATAACGCAATATTTCAGATTAGGTCTTTCTTAATTGAAAATTGCACAACAAATTCAAGCAATTTGCAAAAACACCATGTGGTCTTTGAAGATCAGGCAAATCGGAGTTATTAACAGCCTAGTTCATAGGTGTATGAAAAGCATCACTTGACACTTGACAGTGGCGAGACTGTTTAACGAAGTTCCTGCACGGTTGCATTGCTGGGATACCTTTTGCAATTACGAATAACAAAATTATCATAATATTTTACTGATAGTTTAGTGATTACATAATTCTAAAAAACTGAAATGAAAGAGCCAAAACAATGCCAATGTAATACTTCAAATGAAATTAAAGCTGAAGTTGGAAAATACAATAAATAGGAAAGAAACAAAAAGAGTGAGGTAGAATTTTTTCAAAAGCACAAGGCCTGAATTTCCAAGGGTTTATAATTAGTTAATAAGCACTTATTTAATCAATACTTGAAAACCTCACTTTAATTAATTGATTTTTTTTTTTTTTTATTTTGGAAAATAGCAACGACAGATTTTTTGGTGGATTCAAGTAAAAGGATTTAATGATGACAGCAACTAAGTGATTGTTTCCACAGTGTCAATCCTATATGATTCACTTTTATTAACTCGGAATATTTGGATCGATTGTTAATTCCTTTTCATTTCACATACCTTTTAAGCACATAATTTCTTTGTAAGATAGAGAAGTCTTGAATTTTTGAACTAAATTTAGAAATTTAATTTTATAATATTTCATTTCATTTGCAAAATATTTTCTAATTTCAAGCGATCAATGGGATACGATCGCTTTTATCGTAATCGCTTTAAAAAATGCTAAACTGTTGATACTTCGATTCCGAAATTTTTTTATTACAATTGTAAAATACCTTTTTTCCTTTTTATCCAGTTATTACCTCATCAGTTTTTCAATTTTTCTTTTTCTTTTTTTCTCACGAAATCTTCAAAATCCATTTTTAATTGTCAGCTTTCCTGGGAAGAATTACATGAAGATAGAATTTCAGAATCTTTTCTATCCAAAGTACTTGGAATTGTAACAGAATTGTTAGTTTAATGCTTCCGCTATTGTTAAATATACTTTATAGAATCGAAACCAATTGTCACCAGTCCTTTTGTTTTTGCATCGAACATTTAGATCATTATTTAATGCACTGAATTATTTGAAATACATAATTTTTACTTTTAAATGTATCATGGATTAATATTATTTCTGATATAATGAGAGAGAATGTTTTCTTTTTTCTTTAATCTGGATTGATACCTTTTTCATTTTATCCGTTATGAATTTATGGAAATGTGTTACTTTCAGTAAAAGACTTTTTTCTTTTTTTTTTAGCGACGATATTTTGATTTAAGAAAAAAGGATAGGAAACAAATTAGAAGTGATAGTTCATTTTGGAATATTTACTCAAATAAGTTGAGAAAGTTTTAAAAACAATGGAAGGCAATTTTGAAGTGAAACATTACTTTTAGTCTATAAACTTGGCAAATTTGTTCCCACTACAAATGAAAAGTGAAATTTGTATTTTGGCAGTTTGCTTCATTAGATTAAGCAAAATGAGACGAAAATGCAAGGGGGATACGTGTAGATCAATAATTCACTGAAAAGTAAAGGTAATTGTTGGCCAAAAATAAGTCCTGAAAATTAACAAAATACTTCTACAATTAAAATTTCTTGTAATGCATTTTGATATGAATAACTTAAATAATGAATAGTGCCAGTTTAATGAATCAATTATACTGCAATAGATTGAAGTTGGAGCAAACATCGGAATAAGATGCCTTAGATAGACAGATGTATTAAATAACTGCATAAGTTTGCCAACAGAAGCTAAGCAAGCTAACTTAGCAAGGGATAATTCACAAGGAGAACATCGAAATAGAAGTTCATAAGAGGGAAGAGAGAAAAGCATAATTTGTCATCTAACAAATAACAAACTTCGGACTGAGACTGAGACCAATTCATTCTCTCATGGAAAATGCTCTTTTTTCTTTCGTTTTCTTTTTTTTTTTTTTGTTTATCAGTAATGCATTCAGTTTAATACGACATGCAGGAACTTTTCACCTCAAGTAATAAGTTATTTGAACTCAAATCTGAAATATCACTGAAATTTTCAAGTAAATTTCAACGATTTCTTTCAGCTTTATTTGACACAATCATTTCCAATCATATTTTCTGTGATATTTTTTTGTGATCAAAAGCTTCAGCAAAGATTTTCAATTTCAGAACTGAAACAATACCTCTTGATGAAGAGTTATTCAATTAACTCGAACTTTATTCGGTTTTTCATGTCAAAAATACCGCTCATACTTCACTCTCCGAATATCTGTCCTTCGATTCCTTCTTCCTTCACATATTTCCTAGTAGAGTTATTACATTTGTGGGTGCAATTTTTATGATGCTATCTCCTGAATATCATGAAATTGATGATGATCTTTCTAGAAGCTATAAATCGCTATAGATCATTCGAGATGCAACTTGTAGTTTGATCTTTTGAACTTCAGTTATTTAAGATTGTGTCTGAGCAGTTTCAGTGTTTTATGCTCACTTTCTCGATCAAAAGTTAAGATAGACGAAATTATGGAATTTATATTGTTTTAAAATTATCAATCACTATTGGAGTATCTGTTGTTTGTGTGCCGCCATTTCCCGGTGATAGTGGTGATATCGATCATTCCAAAAGTAACTAACTGGTAGTGTTCAAAGTAAACGAATTTGTCAAATCATTCCTACTTGTTGATTAGAATTCTGACCATTCAATCTGGTAGGACAATATTTTGTTCTCAGGTTATTATCTAAACTAGTATTACTTTTTTCCCCACAATATGATCACTTGCATGGTTTTCATTCAATTGTTAAAAGATATCATGATATGATATTACATGATTGAAAGGAACCGTAAAGAATAATAATTAGTGCACTATTAATTGAACATAAAGTCTCCTATCAGATAATTTCAGCAGTTTCATTTCTTTGGTGCTCAATTTTAATTTGCGGTATTCTGAAAAGCCTGATTTTCATTGCAAAAAATTGCAGTTTTTTTATCATAACATGCGAAATACCTTGGAATTTATTAATAAATTGAATTTGATGGTTTATTTCTGCTACTCCAAAATTAAATTTTGACTTTCCATCATAGCAAAATTGAAGGATGGGAAATATTCAGAGGTTCCACTACTCTAGTCAAAAACTTCTAGCACCCAAATATTGCAAAATATTTCATAATTCGAACTTTTAAAAGTCCTGACTGAAACTTTCAAAACCTTTTTTTTCCATTCAGTAAATCTTTTTCAAACCAACTAGTTAGATCACTTATCAATGATTTAAGAAGTGTATGCAGCAGTCATACTTCACACTTTAGAACTTTCATAATTTTAAATCAATTGTATCGTTTTTGTACCGTTGAATTTTATGTTTAATTTATAGTTGAGAACATATCATCCAATTTCAAATGGTTGTTGATAAAATGGAATAGATGTTGATAAGAAAGAATCAAATTCCATCTCATTCATGAAACAGATATCTTTTAAGCAGAAATTCTTCTTAAATTTAGGACTTTTCAATTCTGAACATATCACTAATTCATATACAATTCTCTTTTTTTCAGCTTAAGGTTAGTATTTCATTAGAACGTTGATAAACTAGCAAAAGATCTTTGCCCGATTTTAAAAAAAAAAGCATTATCAACAATATTCTAGCATGATTCCAATCAATAATGACTCAAATCTACCTACTTTTTAATATGATAAAATCATTAGGGATAAACTTGGGAATAATAAATGAATGCTACCCTTGTATTATCTGATATTTTACAATCATCCCTTATCTTGTGCGGTGACAAGATATAAACTTGAAAGGAATTCAGTACAAAAATGGAACTACTCGTGACTTCATTTATTTAAGTTGCTTATTTGTCGAATGTGCGACTTGTAATTATTCTAATAAAATAACGCATTGTTCAAGCAGTTCACACGCAATCCAATTTTTCTCATTTTGTTAATGAATTTCGAATGTTCTTAATCGTTTTTTTTCTTAAAAGTTAATGCATAAATTTTGCCTCGTCAATTTAATAATCACTTTTTCATAGCTTGAAGTGATTTGAAAAGTATTTCATTAAAAGCAATATCGCATTCACAGATTTCAAGGCATTTTATCGCATATGTGAAATAGTTAACTCAGGATAGCTAGCTGGATGAACCGGATGGATCATTACGGAAGTACTAATAAATACATGTGAGAAATCTAATTTAATGCAAAAGATGTTAGAGTGATATTAAATCGATATAAATTTAAAAAAAAAAGTGCTGGAAAATTTTGTTCCATCATTGCCAGTAGCAGTAGTAGTATACAATTAAATGACTTAAAATAAAACTTTTTTACGCCATCGACTTCTTCGAAATTCATTTATCATTCATCACAATTTTTCACATAACATTAAAAATGTGATACTTTTTATTTATATTTGTTACCATATGACGAATGAATAATCTTACTTCCCTTCATTCAGTAAATCGCTTCTTAACATTTAACTCCCCTTAGAAACAGTTACCTATCAATTTATCGTCTGCATCGTTTAGCAAACAGGATTTAATTATATGATAGATAGGTTGATAATAAATGGGATGATAAAATCACTGTTATGTAATTCTTAATTTAGCTATTACTTAATGCACCTTATCTGTGCACAATGTCTGCATATTCAGAAGATATAAGCAATTTAGCTCTTGCAAATGAACTTTTTCCCTTCCTCACTTACTTTGCCTAGTTATGCTTGTTTATCGGTTGGCTTAACAGTTTTTGCTTCCTTTATTCGAAATAGACTTAGACTTTAGAAAACGACAAAAAAAGATATATATTTCTAAAATGTTCCAAGAAAAAAACAAATAAATTGTATTCAATTTGTTGTTATCTCATTTGCAGTAAATTACTATTCTTCATATCTTACTTATGCAATTCCGCATCATCAGAAGGTTATTTTTTATTTCCAGATAAAAATTACTCCAACTTGTGAAGTAATGGAATAAATTACATTATTCCATTACTCCACTTTCCTCAACACAGTCATTTTGTCATTTATTTTTCATTCCTCTAATTTTTTTTTTTTTTAAATTTACTTTACCTTCTCGAGAACACAGTTCTTTTTTTAAATTTAGTTAACCTTTTGCTAATAACATGCTGTTGTTGCTTTTTTTTCGTTGATTTAGAATATGTAAGTGGATTATATTCGTCATCTATGAAAAAAGTTAAGAATTTGTATTATAAAAAGAATCGGAATAAAATGGTTAATGAATTGCTGCAAAGTTTTTAGAGCTATTTTGGCATTGATATCCAACAATGGTGTTACCACATAGAGTTGATATGATTTATCATTTTTTACCTAAGAGAAAGTACCATTCTATAGCAAACGTTCCCTGATCTTCAAATGCCAAACATACTAAAAATAAAACTTACATTTTCTATCCTAAAAATTATTTGCTTTCTTTTCAGCACTATGACAAAATTTCAAAATGGTTGTAAATACCACTTCATAAAACACGAAAATTACGAGTGTAGTGAGGAGATAAGCAAAAAAAAGAGCCTAGAGCCCAATTTGTAACCCATAACAGTTTGTTCAATTTTGCTAACGCTTCTTAATTTTAGCTTTTTCTTTTTTAAGTTCTTGCACATGTCTCGGAACTCTTTTACCAAAGTTTCTTTAAATTGAAAAAAGGATGGGACATTTTGAATTTTACTGCTTAATTTTCGTTTTTCTAGCTAATGTAATAAAATTCCTTCAAAAATTATAACATCATTATTGCCTATGATATTTCAATCAATCGTATAAAATTTTATTATTTTTATAATCATTTTGTGATTTAACTTAAGGAGCACATTTTACAGAATTTTCGATAGCTATCCTCCTGTCATCTCATCTTTCCATTTTCATCACTTTACTGCATTTTAATGAACACGTTAAATTAACAATAGTTCCGTTTCATTTGTCATACTCATTGTCATTACCTTCACTTCCTGTATGTTATGTACTACACATGCAAACATTGCTTCAATTAACCCTGCTTGTTAATTTGAAAAATTCCCCAGAAAAAATCCAAAAAAACAAAAAGACTTTTTTTAAGCAACGGAGATAAAAAAGGAAAGAAGAGAAGTGGAGAGGCCTAAATGGTTGAGTAAAAAAAAGCTTTCCTTATCTAATTGACTTTTTGAATTAATTTTTTCGAATTTTTGATTTTTTTTCTTTTTTAATTCTCTTCATCATTATAACTTTCTTTAACTTAATGTTCCACAACTTTCGTATTTCTTTTAATTACTTTGAGAAATGCATCGGCTCACAACCATGGCTCATTTATTAACTTTTTTTTGGCCAGATTTCAGGGACAAATATTTACATTTGTTTGAAATCCCAACAATTATTGCAGCACTCATACGCTTCAATATGTTTTGCATTTTTTTTTTCTTAGATAAGTATTTAGCTTCTTTTTCTTTTTTTTTTTTGAATAAATATTCACCTCCCATAGCACATCAACAACAATATTTCAACAATCGCACTTTTTTTTTTGAAAGAAAAAAAGTGAAATTGGATACAATTTGTTAATTTACTCATTTACATGAAAATATGATTAAAATTTATAATCGTCATTGACTTGCCACCAAACTTTGAAACTTTTCACTAGCATTTATGTTATTTGTATACTTACAAAATATTTTACACATTATCATTTCTCTAAATCATTTTATGCGAAAGCGTAAATTGGTATGTTTTCTGGAAGTTTTCAGGAAGCCCATAATGATAAATCTCTTTCGCTTCATTTGTTATTATTTCGTAAAAAAAAAAAACAGCGAAAATGTTTAGAACTTTTCAGTAGTTTCATTTCCGATACAAAGTTTTCCTATGAGATTCCATCGGGCGACGATCTGATTGACCGTAAAAATAACAAATACATGACATTTTTTCTTTTTTTTTAAGAAAAAAAACAATATCTACTTTTGAATAATAACATCGAAATGTTGCTTGTAATATGTGGTGCAAATAACAAGTAGTAAGAATGGCAAGATAGCTTTTCACCTAAGTTTCTTTTCTTAAGTAAATAATTATCAAGTTTTTGCAAGGTTTAGAAAAATAAAACTGACTTTTTAAGTTGAGACCCTTGCTTTTTATTTCGTTCGAATATCTGACAATTCCTAATATTAACAAATGTTGGCATTGTATTTCGAGCGATGATCTGAGATTTGCTAGATTTACTTAAAATAAATAGAAACATACACATATTGGTAGTTACTTAATTTGACTACCATTTAAAAGATATTAAATGAATTTACACAAAGTTTGCCATCAGTTATTTTATCTTTTTATAATTAAAATAAAACAAATGCCCGCTCTCTTATATTAACGGCTCCTATAATATTTTGATCAAATTTGTGCCAAAATACTAATCAGTTGGTGATGTTTAGGGATTTTGACGAATTGATTTTTTTGAGGCATAAATAGCTAAAACCAAAAAGGCGTTTTAAATGAATTGTTTACAATATTACCAATTACCTATCTGTTATCAATTATCTCTCTACCCATTCATGACGAAAATATGCATTCACACCAAACTTTGAAATCTGTGAAAGATCATTTTTTCATCATATTTGCTTTCGTCATATTGAATGGTGTAATTAAACTCCATTAATACTAATATCAACGTCTGATCGTATCGTAATCAATGAAGAAATTAAAATAATTGGTTAAAAAAGATTTAATTGAACCTCTGTCAGAGGTTCAATTAAAAGGGTTCTTTAAGCATACAATTGGACTCTGTGACAGAAATATTTAGCCAATATTTTCTTTGTTGATTTCATCGCATTTTAATGCGAAATTTGTCGACTGATACACATTATGTTTTGAGATGAATGAATGAATGAATCAATCAATCTGTTATTCTTACAATATCCGACGATTAAAAGTCTCAACTTAATGAAAAGTTGGAAGCAAAAATGTTACATGTCGTTAATCATGCTTAAACGATAACTAAGGTTACCAGAAAATTCTTTCTGGAACATGTGCATATTTTGCTACCAACTACTTTTATGTTTGCACACACTTTCAAATGTTTGTTTTTAGTTATGATCTTACTGAGACAAATCATGGTTGCTCAAGTTCTGGATTGTCCTTATTTTGTCTTACCTAGGAAAACATTAAATTTTTAACCTAAGCCTTTTGATAAAATTATGCTGGGTTCTATGACTCAACCAAATCTTGTTTTTGTAAGCTTTCCAAACCTTCTTCTTTGCAGTTATTTTGTACTTGTTCAACTCTTATCCCCGAATCACTAGCTAGCAAATCATTGTCAAAACTAAGGACATCTGTCTAGCCTTAGTCCAGTGTGACTTCTGCAAAGCAGGTTATTCTCAAAACATTACTTTAGAGAAAAGCTAAGTTGTTCTTCTAAACAAGATGCTTTTACTATTAAGTACATGAACACAATTTTCCTTATGGAATACCCAACATATCATTATTCAAGAAGGTGGAAGGATAATGATTTCAGATGCTAAACTTTCCGAGAAAAATTACTAAACTCCGCTGTACCCATGAGAAAGGACCAAACAATAACGGGGCGAAAGAGAGAAGATGAACACATGAAAGAATTATAGTGATTTGCTTGATATCAGATGATCTTATCCTGGATGACAAAGAAATGTCAAATGTGCAAGTCCGGGATTGTAATAAAATAACTGAGTCCGATTATTGAATTGTTATGGCTTTTTCAAATACATTTGGCAACTCAGAAGTGTATATTTAAATATTATTAGTTTTTGCAGAGAATTCGAAATATTTTAGGCATTCACGACATTCATTAAACACTATAATAAAAAAAAAGAAAAATTTTCAAATCTTCCTATCTTCCCGAACAGACAAATTCCAATGAAGAGTGACTGTAAAAGAATTCAGATGAAATAAAGTATCACCGATTACTAATTTGATCAACTGTTCAATAAATATTAACAAATGCTCTCAGCTGCAAGTATTTTGTTAATTGTTTATTCTGTTATTATATTGGTTGCATTGGGTGGTAATTTGTTGGTATGTGTTGCTGTATTCTATGATCGAATTTTACGACGACAGCAGGAGAATTTATTTTTGGTATCACTTGCTGTATCTGATCTTCTTATATCATTGCTTGTAAGTCCTTTTTTTTAAACTCTTTCACTGGTACTCAAAATTAACTTTAGCTCACAACAGATCTCTTTTTTTTCCTGTAGTTTGGCAAAATTTTTCAGAAAAAAAATGTTTTTTTGTTTAATAGCGACTTTCGCATTAGGTGATGTCATTCGCAGCATCTAATGATATTCTCGGATATTGGCCATTTGGTCGCTTGTACTGCCAACTTTGGATATGTTTCGATATTACATGTACCACAGCTTCAATACTCAACCTATCTGCAATTGCCTTACACAGATTTTTGCATATCAGTCGTCCACTCGTTTATGTCAGGTGTTTGCTTTTTCGCAATTCATGTCTATGTGTATAGGGAATTTATGAGATAACGGCGAAATGATATACCGATTTTTAATTCTTCTTTACAGTTACTTGCTTTTTTATTCCATACATAGAAAATAATTTTCCTGGGGATAATGATTGGAATAGCTTATTGCAGATTCAGACATTCTTCCTATTCTTGTATGAGTAAAGTACAGAAAGTTTTTCTTATATCTGGACTATCATAATAATATCAATTTATTTTTGACATATTTAAGATTGAACTCAAAGATAAAATATTGATATTTGCAAATAGCAATATAAAAATCAATCTTGATGAATTCATTATGTGATTGATAAGACAATTGTCATTCATACTGCATTAGTGAAGAAATTAATAGAGCAAGCACAGCTACTAATTGCTGGATAAAGATTTTGTTGTATGGATGCTTTACATGATATAAAAGATTTAAAGTTGACAGAGGAGGGAGAGAAGTGATAGTTTGAAGGAGTGCAATTATACAAGACAACAACGCTTCTCTCTTTGCAACTGTTAATGAAGTTTCGATTTTCACTGAACTGATAATTATGGTGTACTTTCCAAATGTGTGAAGGCTTCAGGAGGCGAAAAATATGCATCGTTATAGCATTTGTTTGGCTGATATCTGCTATCATTGGTTCCACGCAAATTATCCTGGAATTAGTACAGAGGGATGAAGGAATTGATGATAGGAATGAAGTTGATGAGACTAAATACAATAAGTAAGTTCATGTTCTTTAATCTTGATATAAATCCAATCTAAGTTTAAAATTATTGATTATAGATGAAAATAAATTTAACTAAATTGTTCAATTCAAAAGGCTTTTTGCAATCCTTATAATGACTTTTAACCTCCAATTGCTATCGATAATTTCAGTTCTCATCCAAGATGTGAGCTACGACTTAAACCATTTTATGCATTAGGCAGTTCTATGTGCAGTTTTGTTATACCTGCGGCAATGATGGTACTTCTGTACACTCGTCTCTATCTATTCGCCAGGAAACATGCTAAAATAATGCGTATCCAAGTTCAGCAAGCAGCTAACTTTGCTGTAACACTGAATGCTTGTGAAGGAATTCGAAATGTATCGTTTTTTAAAATTCCCAACAAAATGCTAATTTTAATCATTTGTTTCCATACGATAGTTATACCAGTAGTATGAGTGAGCATTTATTAAATTTATCATAATTTCCTCCTTTTCTCCTCTCAACGAATTCTTTTCTCACTTTTCTCAATGAAATCATCAATCTGCATTGATAATATTTAACCGGAAGGAAGTACGTCAATTAAGAAGCTTAAGGTAGTTCAAATAAGATGATTAGAAATACAAACAAAACATTCATAAAAGTATTTGTCAACTGTCATACAAGCTAAAAATTAATCAAAATGTATTATAAGTGATTATCAGAAGCTGTGAAAAGCTTTACAATTACTACTTATCTTTTTTTCCTTTAAATTGCATTTGTTGTTTTTGACTGTTTTATTGTTAAATAACATTCCAAACTCCAAGGAAAAAAATGGCGCAATAATTATTGTGTGATGAAAGGCAGTGATTCGTACAATAAATTCTACAATTTTAATCCTTAAATTTCAAATCACATTTAAAATATTTAATTAAATGTGTGTCATACGTACTTTTTACTTTCTCATAAATCATTTTACTACTTAAAGTATTTCTTTGGCAGATTAACTAAACGACATCTTGTACTTCCATAATGTATTTGGTTGATAGTGAACATTTCAAAGTGATCGCAGTGATGCCACAAATGTAAAGGAAAAGTTTTCAGAATACTAATGTTGGATTTTTTTATGATAGAATATTTGCAATGTGCCGTTGTTGTCACAGGAATGATCCTATTGTATTGGAACGAATCAAGTCGAAAAATGTCTCATCAAAACTCTGTATCACTGATCAGAAAGCTAGGTCAAACTTGATTCTTGAAATGAAGATTTGATATTGGATATGATCAATCTTATCCCAAGACCTATTTGCTGTTGGTACCGATCTATCTCTAAATCTAAATCTCTACAGCTTAACTGTTCATATCACTATCATTGTCCACTGTAACTCTAATCCTGTCTATGTTTGGACTTAAATTCAGAAGTTTTGCAATTGTCATCCTAAAGGTAGATATATATATATATATATACATACACATGTATATATATATACATATATATATATATATATCTTAGCTGTAAATCGATTTCTCTTTTCTTTTTCCAATCAACACCTCATCTTTACTTGTAGTTTTTATTGCCAATTAAGTATTTCGAATTTCAATCTTTATCACAGTTGTAACTAAAATTTTCGGAAATCTTCCGATTTTCCTAATATTATTTCTAAATTTCTATGGCCAGTTCGGAATTTTCTCAATCCTTACTGGATTTCTACAAATTATTTTTTAAATTTTCCAAAATTTTT